AAAGGGGCTGCCTCCCGTGAGCATTTCTTGAATGGACTTCCCTGCAGCTATTGTAAAGTAGGTCCTGCCCCTTTCCCAGGAGGAAGCCAGCTGGAGCCCAGATATGGAAACTGGCTTGTCCCCAGGGAGCCTTCAAGTCCTCCCCTGCCCAGTTCCCCCAGCCTCGGGAGTCCATGCAGACTTTCTGAAAAAGGGAAACCCAGTGGGGGACGCCCTGGCCTCCTCTGGAGGGTCTCCCTACTGGAGAGCAAGTGGAACTTTCCATCACAGTTTCTCATTGCTGCATTCAAGACACAGCCCTCAGCGAAGCCTGCAGCTTCTTCAGCAGCTGGTAAGAAGATGGCTTGCAGCTTCCAGAACTGGCGGTTAAGATGAGATCACTGCGTGACTAGCTGAGCATGCAGTGAAGATGCTCAGAGAATCTGTGCCACTTCCTGCCTGATGTGGTTTTGCTTTGGGGCCGGAGGCTCCTGCCATGCTGGGTTTACTGTCATCCTGCCATCACTGAGAGTCCACCCCCACTCACCCATCCATCCTCACAGAAGGAGCAGAGAGCCAAGATGGCACCAAGCACGTGTCTGCCCCCTCCTGCCCCAACGCACCACATGTAAGGACTGCACCACTGCTTGTAGATTAGGGTACCGTGTTATGGTTTGGATGTGAGGTGTCCCCCAAAAGCTCACGTGGGAGACAGTGTGAGAAAGTTCAGAGGAGAAATGATTGGGTTTGTGAATCCCCGATGGGATTAACTGAGTGGTAACTGAAGTGGCGGGGTGTGGCGGCAGGAGGTGGGCTTTGGGGACTTGGTTTTGGGGTATATATTTTGTCTCTGGTGAGTGGAGATCTCTCTCTCTGCTTCTTGACATCATGTGAGCTTCCTCCCTCTTCCACACTCTTCTGCCATGATGTTCTGCCTCACTTGGAGCCCTGAGGAATGGAGCTGGCCTTCTATGGACTTAGACCTCCGAAACCGGGAGCCCTCGAATAAACTTTTCCTCCTCTACAGTTGTTTTGGTTGGGTCTTTAAGTCACAGTGGTGAAAAAGCTGACTAAAACAGCTCGTGAGAGGGGACGCAGCGCTGTTGGTAATTACAGCAGGACAAAATTGGAACCCACCGCCTCCTTATTTAAAACCCAAGCTCAAAACTCAAAAACAGGAAGGGAGGTGCCCTTGGTATGGAGGTGATCAGGATCCGGGAAGCTGGAGGGACACAGCGTGGAGAGTGTTTGCTTTATTGAAATGTGCATTAGTGTTGCTGTATAACAGCCCCCGCCACACACACATTATCGCCTCAAAATGACATTTGTGATCTCATGATGTTGCTGGGGGTGGGCAGCTGGAAGCGGCTTAGTCGGATAGTTCTACCTCAGGGGCCCTCAGGAGTTGCCGTGGGGTACCCAGAGCTGCCTGTCTGAAATGTGACCTCCAAAGGAAAAGTCACCTCCCCGATGACTTGCTGCCATGGCACCTGCAGGAGAAGGGTCTCTCACTCAGTCTCTCATGGGCTGCTGGAGCATGGGATGATGGCTGGCTTCCTCCAGAGTGAGGGACCTGAGTAAAGGGGGAAAGCCCTTCATGGGTCAGACTGAGAACTCACAGTGTCACACTGGGGCTGTGTCACTCGGCCCAGCCCTCACTGAACTTAAGTTGGTTTTTGACATTCCATTGGCCTTTCTCTGAGTACTGACTTTGCACTCCTTTCTCCCAAGCAAGAGCAGGAGAGACCACCGTGTGCAGCCAGGAGGGACATCTCGGCCACTGGGGTTCCTCCTAGGTGCTCAGTCGCTGCAGATGGGGGATAGGTACTGAGTTCCCATCACAGTGTATGGAGGTGGGGAAGCTGAGGGTCGACTGGCAGGTGACACATTGCATACAGAGGGGCTCATCTTCCTCACCCCACCCCTTCTGACCCAGAGCATCCTGTTCCTGCCCCAGCTGGCTTGCTTCAGCATATAGACCGGCTGCTACTTTCTTAGGTTCTGACTCTGTGTGATAATGAACCTGGTGGGTTGGTTCTGCCCAGGAGACTTATAGGGGGACAGGTTTCTAGAAGTGAAAGCTGGAGTTCTTGAAGTGAGATCCATGAAAGAAAAGCAGACTCTGTGTTCTTATGGGCGGATGGGAGCAGGACTTTCAGTCTCAAGAGATGGAAATAAAAAGATTTCCAAGAATCTTAATCACGGGGCGACTGTGTTTGTTTACTTTTGCAACAAGCCTTGGGAACTGTGCTTGGAGAGATAAAAGCTGTTCTGGAAGCTTGCATCTCGAGTTCCATCATGAGGCTGAGCTGTGAGGAAGCTGACCATCACTCACTACCCCATCATGAGTGGCTGCCCGTCAAATCCTGGGGTAGGAAATTTTGCCTCCATTTTTCATCTTCTTGTACTCAAAGAGGATGAAGCTAATTGTAAGCCTGAGTAAGAAATAAGTGCCCTGTTCATTGTGAGTGCCCAGGCTACTAGACAAAAATAGCACACAGGAAACAGTATTGCAAAGGTCAATTCTTCTAGAAAGGAAGGGACAACAAGCCATCTATCTGAAATTTTAATGAGCAGATCCTGGCCTCTGACCCTACACCATTACCTAACAATCCAGTATTGAATGTAATGTCGGCTTCCATTTCCTATGAATGAGGAGGCAGAATTCCCTTCCAAAGGCAGACCATCTGCCGGATGGACACAAGCTTTGCTCTTTGCCTTAGCTGGCTGCTGTTGACATGCATGAAGTCTTTATGGATAGGGTGTCAGCCCAGGCTCCTTGCTTCACAGAGAGGGCAGATTAGAGGGGTGATAAGCCAGGGTTTGCAGCTAGGATTTTCTTTTTTTACAATGGCTATTTTGTTTCAGTTGAAAAGTAAGGACAGTCTTAGGACACGTTTAACCTTTTAGAGAAAGCTTTGCAACTTCTGGATTAAAAAAAAACAAAAAAAACTTTTACTGTGAAGAGCAACAGCTGAATATTTAAGAGCAAAAATAAATGGACCATTAGGAGAGAAAATAAGGCCCAAGGCACAGCACACATCAGGGCCATTGTGAAAGGGCACTTCCGTAGTCACAGTGAGTCAACAGGCCAACAGCTGTGCTCCTCCTAAAGCAGTTCTGCCATGAACCACAAAGGAAACAATTTTTAATTTTCTTACTCATTGATTCTGAAGTTCTATGAAGTCAGTAGTAACAGAATCACCTAAACATATCCTTCAAAATCAGAACTAACACCCCCCCCATCGCCCCCCAAAGGCTGGGGATTGGAAACCTTAGCAAATAGCCCAGGACCAGGTAGTTGAGAAAGCTGTGCATTAGCTCCTTCTGTGCTCACCACCCCAGGAGGTTTGCATGTTAATGTCACTTACCAGATGCCAAAACTAAAGGGTGGAACTCAGGGTTATAGACACAGGCTGTACCTCCAACAGATCTGAGGCTGGGCTCTGACCTACTTCTTCCCTATGTGGTAGAAAAGCTTCTTGACTCTGTATGCTACACTCTCTCATCTGGATATTTGGACATGGGATTGAAATAATGCAATGAAGCACCTCAGCATAGTACTCAGGTCATACAAAGCGTATAATAAATACCATAGTAGTTAAGGAACAGCCTTATTATTATTAAGCAACCAGCTCACACTGTCTGATAATGCTGATTTATTGTCTTATTATGAGACAGAAAAATTTGAAGACAAGAGGCCTTTCTTTTTAGCTTGGCTTCCTAGGTCCTTACATGGCATTGCTCATTCTGATTGAATGAATGGGTGAAACAAAGAAGGACATGCAAAGCTGGTTAGTAGCAGGGCTGGATTTCAGCTGAGGCCTTTACTCCAGGCCTGAGACTGAGTTCTGGGAAGGGGCCCATGAGCCAGTACTTCTGACTTTTTTCCCCACACCTTTAAAAAGCTCTACATCTGATTAGAGGGGGTTGATTTGCTGTTTGGGAACACTGCAAACACCTGGAGGTGTGGGGGTTGGGGGGGAGATAGTGAGAAGGGACCAAGCACAGTAGAGGGTGGCAGGAGTCTTTGGGAGGTCTCAGGACCAGGGTGGATTCCCTGGGTGGATCTGGCCCTGGCAGCAGTAGAATCACCTGTGGTTTTGAAAACTGTCTGGGATTTGCCCATCTGCGGAAATTTTAAGTTCATTGGTCTGGACTTGGGTGGCAGAAGTCCCCAGGGTTGGGAACCACAGTAGCACCATAAGGTGGGTGCCCACCATTCTTAATATACCCAGCCAATTTTGTCCTTGTGGCTTCTCTGCTGGTCACATGGTCATGTGACAACATGCCTGTGACAGAGCTAACACCCAGGGTCAGGAGGCTGTCTAGCCCAACACTAGAATTAGAAGGCAAGGTGTCCATTCCTGCAGTGGGGGTGGTGTTTCTCCCAACACCTGTGCTACCAGGTACCATGGCCTGAAGAGCCTCATTCTGAAGACAAAGGAGGGCGCCCTGAATCTCTACTTTTAGCAGCCAACCTAAATACTTAAGGTCAGGGAAGTTTGGGGAACAGTCGCAGTTTACCCTTCTCCGAATCCAGGCCATAGAAAGGAAACGTGGGTCAAAGATCAACGTGGAATTTGAAGCAATACATGAAAAGCGCCATGCCCAGGTGCCTCGTGCCTGCGAGTCCCAGACGGGTGAGATGCCTGTTTGTGGACTTAGGACCACGGCGCCAGCCCAGGCTGTGGATCGCCATTCAGACCCGCTACTCTTGTCCCGCCGGTTCTCGGCGAGCCGGCAGCGAGCGGCCGAGTCATCATTTCCAGGCTCAGCCTGGAAAGCTGGACCGTGCCGCCGCGTGTGCTCTTGGCAGCCGGGCGCCCGGGGCCCCGCGGCCACATCATCCCGGGGCGGGGATGTGTGCGCTCCGGCCCGAGCCGCCACCGAGCCACGTCTGTGCTGCCGGCTCGCGCGGTCCGGGAGGCGCCCTGCACCAGCCACCCCTGGGGTGGGCGAGCCGCGGCGCTGGGCGGGACCCTGGCGGGCACGGCCCCCGCAGCGGTCTCTAGGACCCGCGGGACGCCGGCGGCGGGAGGGGTCGCGGGGGAGACGATAATTTGTTCCGTGGTGATGAGAACGGTGACTGTTGGCCGTGGATCCATTTCACAGGCCTGCCTTCTCTCACTAACGATCTTCCTCGTCCCCGGGCCAACTCGGACAGTTTGCTCATTTATTGCAACGGTCAAGGCTGGCTCGTGCCAGAGCAGCGCGCGCGCGCACGCACACTCGGGGAAACTTTTTTAAAAAAATGAAAAGCTAGACTCGCTCCTCTCCGCGCGGGCGCTGCGCGAGGGGGTCGGAGCTGACTCGCTGCAGCAGGAAATCCCTCCGGCAGCGACGCCCGGCCCCGGCTCGCCGCCCGCGTGGGATGGTGCAGTGCTGGCCGCCGGGCCCCGAGAGCTGCTGCACGGAAGGCTGGCGACCATGGCAGCGCGCCCGCCGCTCGCGTCCCCCGCCCGCGCCCTCCTGCTCGCCCTGGCCGCGGTTCTGCTCGCGCCCCGCGCAGCCCGAGGTAAGTCACCGAGCCCAGGAGGCTGCCTGCCACCCCGCCCGGGGCACCGCGCGCTGCTTGGGTTTTGGGGCTTGCAGAGTGCCCGGGCTACCCCGAGAGGCGGAGCACTGGGGCGCATCTGAGGAGCCCCGGGCTCGCGTGCCCAGAGCCGCGAGGCGATCCCCTCCCAGGTGCCAATTCCCAGGGGAAAGGTGGGGACACTTGGCTCGCGGCCCTGAAGCAGCCAGCAGCGCCTGGCTCGGATGGCACAAGCTCTGGGCTACTTCCCCGTCCCCTCCCTTCTTGGGTGACATTTGCTCTAACGTCTCAATATCTTGACAGTTACACGTGTCGCCCCGAATGATGCTCGTGGGGCTATCTTACTGAACCTGTCCCGTGGTGAGCCCCCCACCCCAACTTCTGGGTCAACCTTCTCAGAGGAGGTTTTCTTTCCACTCCCTGCCTCCCCACCGATGCACTTGGGGGACGGGCAGTAGCCACGCAGGTGAACCAGACCCTCCTCCGCAGCGGTGCCTGCTGGGATTCTCCGTGGTCTCCCTACTTTTCTTTTCTTTTAATTGACTCTCTTACCTACTACATCCCTCCCGGCCCTTTTCAGCTCACTTCCTAGCTGTAGGCAGCGGCCAAACTTCAGCCAAATTCATCTGTCTATCCACAGATTCTTTACCATAGTATTCGCTTACATCAACGTCGTGTAAAGCGATCCTCATTTCAGAGTTAAATCAAAGTGCATATATTATAGCTGTTTTACAGACTTGGATTTTCTCGAGTTGAATCCCCTTAAAATCGGACACCTGTGGATCTTGTTTGCATAATGAGGACTCGCTCAGCAGGTGCCTTTTTAAAAATTCGTGAGCTTCCTCTGGTCCCCGCTTCCGTCGCCTTCTTTCTGCCGCTAGAGGCGCTGTCAGCCCACCAAAGAATGATTTGCCTTGGCCTCAAACTCCACATTTCTATGATTCTATATAACAGGCATTTATTTTTCAACAACTGGCCTCAATCACGAACCGTTACCACTTTATGGTACGTTTTATTTCGCAATTGCCACTGCTACCCTCCGCCCCCACCATGCCTACTGTAATGTGGCTAAAACACGGTTCTTGTTAAAATCCACACAGCAATAAAGACCAAATTGGGAATTAGTGATCAAATAAAAGGATTGCACAAGGGAAGAAGGAATGAGAAAGCCCAGAAAGAACACAGCTGACTCTTGAGGAACCCCATGACCTGCAAAAGAAAATAACAGTAGTCAAAAGTGTCTTGAAAGTCTTACAAATTGGTCCTTTTGAAATGTTTATTGTAAAGGAACTTACAAAAAAAAAAAAAAAATAGAAACAGTCCCAAAGTGTGCATAAGGTGGTCTTTAATTTGGAACATGCTCCATTCACAAAAACAGAAGTCTGCTGATCATAGGTGTTTGTTAGAGGAAAATGTCTATTAAATCAAGTGAACCATAGGAAATTATTTCATAGGATTGGGCTTTTATCATTTTATGACTACAACTTTGGTGGAGAGAGTTTTCCTTAGAATAGATGTGACCCCAGATGGAAACCATGCATTGCTTCTTTACCCTTGGATTCTCAGTACCAAGTGTTAATCAGTGCCTTCCAATCGTGTCATTGAGGTTGTTTAGAAACACAAAATGAACATTTCTTCATGATGGCAAAAGGAATGAAAACTCGTTGAAGGCAGAGCACATTCTGGGTCCTCCTCCAGCCTTGTCCATTATCCTGAGTTCCGCACAGTTGCCCTCTTGGTACCTTCTGTGACAAATAAATCCTATCAGGTCCAAAAACAGAACTCTGGACTCCAAACCCTCCTGCCAAGGGCTTCCCCTTTCAAGTCTTCCCAGTTCAGTAGTAATGTCCTTCTCCTTCTCCAGAGGCCTGGCTCGGACGGCACAAGCTCTGGACTACTTCCCCTTCACTTAGGAAGTCACCCTGAGTCTCCCCTTCCTCATCCTAAGCAATCAAACTCCAGCATATATTCCCATCTGTCCACATCCTTCCAACTAAAATGTGCTTTCCCCAATCCAGGCTGCTTTAAAAATTCCTTCTGTAGGAAACTCTTATCTCTATGGTAGCAACCTACTCACTAGCAACTGACTTTTCCTCTTCTCCTGACATGGTGTGTTCAATGCCATAGCTAAAGTCACTATTTTCAATCATGATTTAGATCATGTTAGTCTCCTGTTTAAAATTCATCAATGGTTTTCTCTCACCCTTGGGAAAGAAAATCAAAACCTCTTTATGACTTCCTGTTTCGCTTTCTAATCTTATTCTCCACTCTGCTTACTCTACCACAGACACCTCAATATTTCTTTCCAACTTCTCAATATAGTGTTGCCATAATTTTTAAAAATTCAACGTTTTCACCATGAAGACTTTGCAAATATCTTTCACAGTTGAGCCAGGCAGTGTCCTATAACTCTTATCCCTTTTGCAACTTTTTTGCTCTCACTAGGGTTAATAGTTGCCTCTCTTTTTTTGTATGTTTGTTTGTTTTACTTTCATTTTGTTTTCTGTGTACCAAACTGTGATACTATGACATAATAAATAATAAATATTTGGACTCTGTCCTGGCACATAGCTCCTCAGAACCTCTGGAGTGATAAGTGTCTTTTGTATGTTAATAAGATGACTAGTGGCTTCGGGAAGGGGTGGATTCCAAGTAGCTTCAGGATATTGGGGCTGACCAGAAGAAATACCAGTGAAAGAGAGTTGGGTCTTTCAGCCTTACCTCAACGTCCAGTGATCATTAATGGCCAATGATGTAATCAATCATCCCTATGTCATGAAATCTCCATTGCAACCCATAATGATGGGGTTTGAGAGTTTCCAGATTGCTGAACATGTGAAGGCCACCTGGAGGGAATGGGAGTTTTACATCCTTCCTTTGTCCTATGTATTTTCCAACAAGGGTTCATGTACATCCTTTATTGTAGCCTTCATTAATATAATAAACCAGCAAATATAATACATGTTTCCTTGAGTTCTGTGAACTATCCCAGAAAATTAATCATGAGACCCCTATTTATAGCAATTTCTTGTTTTCCCTAGAGTTAATAGTTGCCTTTTCTTTTCGAATGTTTGTTTGCTACTTATATCCAGTTGATTAGAAGTAGAGGTGATAACCTAAGACTATGATTAGCATCTGAAGTGCTAATCATAAGTTAAGATCCTTTGAAGATATCTCTGGGTAGATAGTGTCAGAACTGAGTTAAAGTTTAGGACACCCAGTTAATGTTCACTGAGAAACTGGTTATTAATGGGAAGAAATCCCTACATATTTCGGTGATCAGAGGTGAAGCCTTCTGTATTGAGATTGAGAACAGGAAAAACACTTTGGTTTTTGTTTTTTCTTGTCACACAACCTCTGCTTTATCTCCAACTTTTCTGGAAATACTATAATATACTACAATGCTCCTTTCAGTACGAGCAAACACACCAGATGAACTACTAATCATTTATTTTTTACTTGGTATCGTCTTTCCTGGACTCCTTTACCCTCCTCCCCTTCCAACATGAACAGGCTACATTGTAGGTATACATTTCAACTGTTGTTTCATGACTTAGTATCAAGATGCTGGAAATTCTTCTCTCTCCCTTCCCATGTTGGATCCCCCATTTTTTGAGCACCATAACTTTTTCTTAAGTTGTTCCTTATTTTCTTCCAGTAACTTCCTAAGGAAGAGCGTTTGGGAGATAACAGAGCCAGTCAATTTTATTTTTATCAGGAAAATCATATCATAAGCCTTTTGGCAGATTTTCTCATGATCTCATTGGCCAGTCTATGACGAGGCCATCTTTTGCTGCATAGGATGGTAGAAAAGTAATATTTTTTGCTATACACATTTTGTGATTCAAACAAAACAGCATTCTGTGAGTAAGGAAAAGATAGGAACATATATGTGTTACACCATGCATGCATATGTGTGTATACACATTATGTACATGTATGTGTATATATGTACAAATACATATGTACAGTTTCCAGTCATTCCATCCTTGTTTGCTAGTTTGATTGGGTATAAAATACCAAGGTGAAAACCATATCTCCTCAGTATTTTATAAAGTATTTCTTTGTTGTCTTTATGGCCATTACTGCTTGAAAAATTAATGACATTCTGATTGTTAATCCTTTAAATGTTGTATTTTCTTTTTCTAGAAGCTTTATCTTCCCTTTGTCACTGTGGTTTTTACATTTCACGATGATGTATGTTAGTGAAATTCTTACCAGTAATGTGTTGGGAACTCAGTCACCTATTTCAGCTTGAAAATTCATGTTGTAGAATTCTAGTATACTTTCTTGTATTATTTCTTCATTCTCCTGAAAATATTCTTCAATTTTCTAATCTATTTTTCATTCTGCATTTTTGTTCTATTGTCTGGCATAGTTGTTTAGCTATATTTTCCAACCCCTCTATTTAATTTAATTTTTTTGTTCTTTTAAAATTTTTGCTACCATATATTTAATTTCTAAGTGATGTTTTTGCTATCTGAGTGTTTTTTCTTTTATTATACTGTCTTATTCTTTTTTTGTAGTGGCTACCAGATCTCAGTTAACTGAGTGTATTTTTTATGTTCACTATTAGTTATGAGATTCTTTCCCCCATTTGTCATCATCTCTGACTTTCCCCAAATGCAACTTTTGGCTCTCTTCTAATATTTAATAAAGGATGCTGATGAGCTACTGGAGGTGCCGGTGCTTCCACAGATGGATTTATTGACTGGTAGGCCTTTATCTTGTCAGGAAACCTCCAATGCCCCTGATTTCCACCCCCAGCCCCCGCCCCACCCCTTAGGCTGGTGAGTTTGTCTAAAAAGTCCTTTGGCCTCTGGCTAGAGAGAGGTACGCCTGGCTGTAGGCTTGTGAGCTGAGCAGGGGAACAGGGTAAAGATGATGTCATCTCATAATGCTTTGTTGTTGTTGTTTGTTTTCACTTAATCCTTTTGCTTTAGTTTGGCACTTACTGACATTCCTCTGTGTCTGAGAGTCCG